CCCCAGCCTGAGGCCACACCCCGACCTCTCCTGTGTGGGTCTCTGGGATCCCGCTGCGGGCACAGTCCCTGCTCAGGGCCTCCTGTGGCTCGACCATCAGTGTCCCCCGCACCGCCCCGCGCCCCGGCTCCCTGACCACCTCCCTCCCGGGGGCAACGGGGGGTCTCATTCCCTTGCCAGGAGGCCCCCCCCCCACCTTCTCGGGTTCCCTCCCGCCCCTGCGTGCTCCGCTGCCCCTTCCTGAGTGTCCCAGGGCCCCGGCACTGGCTGCTTGGGGCTTTCTCTCTCTGCACCTGCTCTCAGCCCGAGGGGAGCTTGTGGGGGGCTCGGGGCTGTCAGGGTCGGGCCGGGCTCGCAGGTTGGTCCCATCCACGACACGCGTGTCCTCACACTCCCACATCCGGCGCCTACTGAGCTTGACCTCGCAGCTCCCACCCGCCCACCCTAGCACCGCGCCTCCCGGGCACCCCAAAACACGTCTGAGCTTTCGCAGCCTCTCGATCTCTACGGCAGCTCTGGGTGGTTTTGAAAAGTTCTGGGTCTCCGCCTCCCGACCCCTAGAAGCCTTTTCCACCCAGTCTTTCTGGTCGGGACGCTGACCTCGTTCTCCCAGTTGCTTGGGTGAAAACCCAAGCATCATTCTTGACTCGCCACCTCCTGGCCCCCGTCCAGCCCTCAGCGGATTGTTCCCACGCACACCGTCTACAATGCCCTCACCGTTGTACCCGTGCCGCCCTGCTCCAGGCCACTCCTTCCGGCGGTCGCGTGAGCGCAGTCCTGTGCCACCTGCCCTCCCGGACCTCAGTCTTAACCCTCCGACGCCCTCTCCTCAACCCGGACGCTACGGCAATCCTTGTGTCTCAAATGGAATTCAGGCCATGGGTCTCCACGGCCCACGGCCCTAAACCGGCTCCACGCTCATCCCGAACCTGAGCAAAGGTCGTCACATTGGCCAGGAGAGAGCTTCTTGGCTGTGCCTTCAGCATTGCAGGTTTGGGGAGTCGGCCTGCAGTCTTCTCGGGGCCTTGAGTGCGCAGCCCCATGCAGCTCCGGCCTCCCGGTCACCTCCTGCAGGCCTTCCCAAAGCTCGTGGCCTCGCCCTACCTACCTGCGTGGCCGGCCCCCCACAGGCCCGCGCACAGGCAGTTGCTCTCCCACTGCTGTGTCCCTTCCACACCACTCACGACCTTCTCAAATAGAGAACATACAAAGCCGTTGTTGTCGTTTCCCGCCTCCCCCGTCTTGGGTCAGCGGTGCAGTAACTGCGATCACATCACAAACTGCCCCCAGACTTAGTGAATTCAACAACTGACTTCGCACACGCATCTCCCACCTGGGCAGTCGCCGGGGGTTAGGCTCACGGGTGCTCAATGTAGCTGCAGAAATCACCTCCGAGAGGCCTCAGTCACAGCCTGCGGGCCTCGGGCCTCCGTTCCTTTCCCTGTGGTGCAGGCTTCCTCATGGCCTGCTGGCTCGGTTCCAAGGGTGCAAGTCCCAAGAGCGCACCAAGCAGAAGCTGGACCACATGGCCTGACCAGCCTCGGACACCTGGTGCCTCCTCCTGCTGCCTCCCCCACTGTGTTCTCTGGGCGAAGGCACTCACCGCCCAGTTCCAGCCAGCTCTGGGGGTGGCGATGCGGACTCCATCACTCAGCGTGGAGTGGTTAGATTCTGGAGGAGCAAGTGGAGGGGGGATAGCTCTGCAACCGTGTGACCACGTTGCCAGAATTCAACGTTCTTCAGTTGGCTTCGCCAAAGCCTCAGCCGCGGATACTTGAAAAGTAGCAGAAGTGCACATTTCCTGGAGGGGTTTACCATGAGCCCCAGTGATGAATGGCATATCCAGAGAGTCATGGCACGATGTTGAGTTAAGGATCGGAGTCTTCACAGTCACCAAAATATTCTTCCTAGTGCAGCTGCATAGGAATGGGGGTGCAGTGGCCTTGACAATATTTATTTGTTCTTCCTCATTGATATTTTTAATGAAGCTTCTCATTACGAACGTATCCAAGGGTGAATCATAAAATTGGGTGGAGAGTCATTCACTGAGTTTTGGTGGATTTCATCCAATGAAATCAATCACCGAAGGCAGGAATTTCCCAATTATATTGGTCATATTCCTGGTCCATTGCATCCTAGCTGAAGCCTTAGCTGCTCCATGACATGAATGGACAAGAAGATCTTCCAGTTCAGTTGAATATGAAGATGACTAGACTATGGGCAGCAGCACGGCGTGGGATCTGTTTTCCTTGAGTGGGTCAACTTCTCACAAGTGAGATAAGGACCAAATGGGGGACTGCTAATGGAAAACTCAAATGGGCAGTGGTGTGACCATAAATAAACTAGGACTCTGGCGTGAAGTCGTCAGGAACCCACCAAGGAAACAAACAAACAACAAACAAAAAGTAGCAGAAGGAGAAGAGTCCAAGTGAGGGGGAAGATTTCTGCAAGATCGCACTGGGGAACTCTGGAATATAACTTCTACTTAGACTTTGTCCCAATATGAGGAAAGGGAGCGGAGATTTCAGAACGCGGCCCCTTGTGAGGGCCTCCCAGCTCCCTGCTATTACAGGTAGAGCAGCTCTGGCTATTGTCTGAGGGGTCTGCTCGGAGAGGGAATCCCAGGGGTGGGCCGTTGGAAGCAAGTGCACAACCACCAGAAAGGGGCACATCCAACAGTGAAACGGGTCCGGGAGGCTTTGGGCGCGGCCCCAACAGAGCCCAAGTCGGAAAAGCTTTCCTGTAGTTTCCTCTACTAGGTTTTATGGTCATGCTTCTTACAGCGACTTTTGAATTCTCCTGGAGCTTATTTATTTTCCTTCATGCCAACTGGTATTTTGAAGTATGCTTCACATGCAGTAAACGGTACAAATATGAAACTCACTGAAAAATCCGTGGATTTTTACATATGTATTCCTCCATATAACCACCCAGATTAAGATACGGAACATTTCTATCATTCCAGAAAGCTCTCTTCTGCCCCTTCTCAATCAATAATAATCTCCCCAGGGTGCCTGGGTGGCTCAGGTCAGTTGAGTGTCCGACTCTGGGTTTCAGCTCAGATCATGGGCTCTGGGTTGTGGGATCGAGCCTCTCACCAGGCTCTGCACTCAGCAGGGAGTCTGCTGGAGATTCCCTCTCTACATCTCCCTCTGCCCCTCCTCCCAATCACTCTCTCTCAAATAAATAAACAAATCTTTCCAAACATAAGCTCCCCAAAAGAGGTAGCCACTCTTCTGACTTGTCACCATAGTGGATGGAAATGAATTAAGTCTCAGATCGAAGAACCAAAAATTGAAATAATGTAAAATTTTCAGACAGATCCAAAACAAGTAGGTTGCGTTTTTTACATGAAGGCAAACAGTCTCATGCAGATAAAACTCATTGCAGCAGAGGCCTTGACGGCGCAAGAGACCAGAGCAGCTGTGGTGCAGAGCATGACAGGACCTGATACATACAGCAGAGGGCACACACCAAACCCGCTGTTCCGCCTTTCCCACTGGGGGCCGCCTGGAATCGATGGCTGCGCGTGATGGCAAAGTGGGGCAAGGGTCGTTATTGTCCACGGGGATCTCCATCCGATGACCCGGCACTCGTGACCGGAAGGCCCTCGTGTCCCCGAGGCTCTCCTCTGTCTTCTGTACCGTGAGTGAAGTGCTGTGTGTGTTGTGGGGAGGGTCTGCGTCTCGGTCCCATGTCTTCCTCTCCCAGTGGGGCCCGGGGGCCCGCCTGCACCAGAGCCACACTCCCTCGGTGGCGGAAAAGAAAACATAAATTTGTAAGGCACATGGCACCGTGTAGGGAGATGACAGCAATAAGAGCAATGTGAACTCAAGAGAAGGAGAATCAGGAGGCTAGAAACTTAGGGGGGGCTCTGGTTAAGGGGCCAGAGCACAGGGGCCTGGAGTGAGATTACCCTTCGTTCGGGTCAGGTTGCCCGGCCTCCGCTTTGCACGCGCGCCTCCCGGGCCGGCCCGCTCCTCTCTGGGTCAGGGGCTGGGCTGGGCTGGGCTGCGCTGGGGAAGAGCGTTCCCGAGCTCGGCCCCACACCTCCGGGGCCAATTTGGCGTGGCCTCTTCTCATCTCTGTGCCTTTGGCCTGTGTCCCCAGACCTGAGCCCCCACATCTTTGCTCGTCCCTGCCTGGCTTCCCGGCTTCGAGCGCCTGCTGCCCCGGGCCCCCGGAGCGAGGGCGGCGCAGGACACTCCGCTGCCGGGGACAGGCCGGCCGGGGGCTGTCGCTTTCCGAGGTCTAGTGACGAAGGTCGTGTTGTACGTGCTGCCAGGGAGGGGTACTGAGCTCCACTCGCGGTGAAGCAAAGAGGCGTGGAGACGGGCTCAGGCCGGGCAGGAGCAGGCGGCCCCGAGAGCTGCTCCGCTGCCGACCTGGCAAATGGCAGTGGGGTCCGCTTCCACACGCCGGGCTTCCTGTCTTTTTATTTTTAAGATTTTATTTATTTATTCATGAGATTCAGAGAGACAGAGAGGCAGAGACCCAGGCAGAGAAGCAGGCTCCACGCAGGGAGCCCGACGCGGGACTCGATCCCGGGACCCTGGGGTCACGCTCTGGGCCGAAGGCGGTGCTAAACCGCTGAGCCCGCGGACCGCCCCATACCGGGCTCTCAGGGGGTGCTCTGCATTTCCACCGAATGCACCGCTTCACACGAAGAAGAGAGAACTCGAGTGTCATTCCTCCGTATAAAACCTTTATTAATGCCAGAAAGGAAACAGTACAAAACATACTGGGTTTTGCAGATCAGCGTGATTCTCCGTACAAGGCCGGTCCTACCCGGGACGGAGGGGGCCCCGAGCGGACAAAGGCCACCGTCCAGTGGCTCCCTGCCCAGGAGGCACCTGGTGGCCTCTCCTGCGGGAGGACCCTGTGCCTTCGAGCTCCTCCCTCCCCAAGGAAAGTGCCATGCCCCAAGTTCCTGGGGGGCCTGGGGGACTTGCAGGCTTGAGACCCTTGGGTCCCCCCTTCGGCACGGCACAGCCCCGATCTGCAGGAACTCCCCAACAGGATGACATGGGAGGAAAAGCAAAAAGGGGCTCCAGAGACCCACGTGGGCTCGCCCCACCACCTCCCGGAGGCCGTGCCCCGCGCAGGGCACACAGCTGCCGTGAGCACTTGCCTCCCTCTGGTATCTGTGATCGTTCCCATTTTCAGTGCAGAGCCCCAAGCCTCAGGCCCTGGTCACACTCCTGGCCCCGTTACCCACGAGCCAGCTCCGCAGGGAAACAAGAGGCGAGCGGCCTCGCGTGCACGGCGGCCCCTTTCCCAGGGGCGCTCGCTGCCGTCAGCCCCCAACTGGCTGCCCTTCCCGGCCGCGAGGCGTCAGGCTCCTGGGGAACCTTCCATCGGCAGTCTTACCGAAGCAGGGCCTGTCGCAGGGCCTGTCACACACACCCTGGAAAGGAGGCTGAAGTCCTTTTTTTCTCACCCCTAATTAATTGCTCCCAGACAAGTCACACGGCTGCAGTGTGTATTGCTTCGTGCAGCCGACGCTTCCGGGGACTGTTTTGCAAAGAGGTTTGGGGGGTGGTCAACTGGATGCCACCTCACTACCGGTGTCATTTTAGCTGTACTTTCTTTCCTGATCTAGCTCCAGTCGAGTGTGGTGCTTGGCACTTGGGCATAGAATATTCCGGCATCAGCCTGTCAGGTAATCAAGAATATGAACACAGGTGCACCCCCCTCCCCCCGGAGGTTACTGTCTACGAGGTCCACCAGCCCCGGATTGTTGCCTGAGGCTCGGCTCTGTGACTCTTTGTAAGTCACACAGGGAAGAAGGCGGCTCCTTCCAGGCTCTGGCCTGTGCGTTGTGACGTGGAGCTGGCTGCAGGGTGCAGGGGCCCCTCTCATTTCTCTGTCCAGGCTCGTGGGGGACCCTTACATCATTTAAAGCATTCGACAACGTCCCCACACCCCACTTTCCTCCAGGAAGAAAATGCCGTCACCAGATCCCGCTGCTTTGCACATGAAAAGTACTTCTCTAACGGTCTGAAAAGCCAAGACTGGACTTGACTTACCCTTGGGGCACTTAGAAACCCTCAAGCCCCACAGCAAAGCCCACAGCTGCCCCGACTGGCCCTGGCTGTCACAGACCTGCCTGCCTGCTTAAGCCATCCTCCTACGCGACACACAGCCGGTCAGAATGGCAGGCCAGCATCTGCTTCCGTCCCAGTTGTTCGGATTTGCCTTCTGGATGCAGCTGCTCTGAAGACTCGAGAAGGCCCATTGAATAAAACCCCGTGCCCGACTGAGACTCTCATCTGGGTCCACTTGACCCCGGTGCCCCATCAAGGAAGGGGTGACGCGATGGCCTCACGACAAAGTGGGACCGTGTGCTCTCGGGGCTTAGGCAGCACTAAAGCGGAAGGGAAAAACCCGCCAGGAAACTGGGTCCAGCATAGGACAGCCAGGGACGATCCCCCTTCCCGAGGGGACAACAAACCTCTGTGAGCATCAGCCAGCTCACGGGGAGCCCGCTGCCGGGGCACCGCGGGATCCCAGGCCGGATGTCACGGTGATCGTTAAGAGCTATTCGTGACGGTACCTACGGATGGCGTTACTTCCCCATTCGAACACCGCACAGAGGGCCTGGCGGGACATGCAGCCGTGTCCAGTCAAAAAGCACCAGCTCGAAACCCTATGACAGGGAGAGGCGAGGAGTCCTCCGTGTCTGCACGCGTTGCTCGTGGCCCCAAGGCCGGCCGAAGCGATAGAGCTCGTGCAAATCGTCGTGCCGGCGGGCAGCGTGGCCAGCTCTGTCCCAGGCCTCCCCCCGGGGCTGGGCTCCGTGCGGGCCCCTGGGCGGCCTTGCCTCCTCTCATGCTCACTCGTCCTTTCTTCCCAGCGGGAGCCACCATCCCTGGCACGCCTCGCTTCCGGGCTCGTTCAGGCAAGAGGTGGCCGAGGCAGGCGCACGCGTGCCGGGAAGGGGCAGGCCCACCTGGCCGGGGTCACCTGCTATGCTCATCGCGGAGCCCAGCACTCCCTGCCGTCGCTTGAATTCTCTTTCTCTGGGGAGACAAATGACTGATGTGCCTGTTGGGGTCTCCGGCTTGCGTCTCCTCAGCCGCGATTTCGGGGGCCGGGACGAGACGTCTCCAGGAGCCGCGGTGCCAGGACCGTCCGTGGGCCAGGAGGTCAGGACACAGGTCAGAATCCGCAAGTGTGACACCCAAATGGTCCCGATGGCAAGACCGGCTCTCCTCTGCGCCCCGACGCTCCGCTGGACAGCTTCTCCACCGAACTCTGGGAACCCTACTCCCCCAGTCTCGTTTTTACTGTTCGGAGCGTGCCTAAGTGAACGGCCCGGTCCGGGGCGCGGTCCACGGCCGTGGGGGCACAGCCTGGGGGCTCCGGGCCCGTGTGGCCGGGGAGGGCCGCTCAGCGTGCACAAATGACCCTCTCTCCCAGCGGTTCTTGCCAAGCCCACGGAACCTGCAGGTTCTCCCCGGATCTTGACCCGGATCGACCCTCGGTGCGATTCTGGCAAAAGAGCCGTGAGGGCAGGGCCCGAGCCTCCGCGCCCCGATCCCGGCCCGAGCACACGCCTCACACTTTGGACTGCCTCTCGTCCGTCCACTCCTGCTTCGTGCTCTGCAGGGCTTGGGTCTTCTGCTCATCCACTTGGACGTAGTCGACTCTTTGCTCTTCCGCGAGGAGAAGTTTCTGAGGGGGGAGCACAGAAAGGGTTTCGTCACATTGAATCACGAATCAGGAAAACGTTGGCCCTTTTGTGGTAGGTTCCAGCGTTGTTAACCCTTTGGAGCCCCCGCCCCGGTCCCCCGGTCGCTCTCCGCAGAGGCGGACACCTCGGGTGTGTGTTTGGACAGCTCTGGTCCTGGGCTCCTCCAGCCCTGCTCGGGCCATCGGGCTCCTGTGACCCATACGACGGCAGTGGAAGGGACGCACGCCGTCAGAGAGGGAGGCCGGCAGCTCGTGCTTCTGGCACGAGGGCAGCGGGGCCCCGGATGGTGGGCGACGGGGACACAGCGGGCCGTGGCCCGAGCACAGCAGCCGAGGCCCGCGCTGCCGCCAGCCCCGAGGGCCTGGGGGCGGGGTCCTGACTGCAGAGCCCCCCAAGGCCGCCCAGGCCCTCTTTTGTCCCCGCGGGTCTCCCGCTGCGGACCAGGTGTTCTGGAACATCAGCCCAGGTTTGGGGAACGAAATTACAGGTGAAGGAGAAGTGGGAGCTCATTTGGCAAAAGGAAAGGGAAACGCGGGGGGGGGGGTGCCCTCCCGGGACGGCTCGGGCACGACGGACGGCCTACCTGCTGTACAGGGGCCGGGGAGGCTGAGTTGAAGTCCAGAGCTAAGTAGTCCAGGCTGAATTTCTTTGTCCACGTCAGAGCGCCACTGCCTAGGGGGTTGGCTGTCCCGTGATTCTGGAAGGCAACATCACAGGGCCCACGTTACGGCTGTGAGGCCGGGGGCAGGGGGGCGACTCGGGGCGCACCGCAGCCCCTGCCATCGGGTCGCAGCAGGCTGCTCTCGGGAGACCTCCGTGTCTGCGCGACAGCTGGCCCTTGAAACACGACATCGCCAGGGGGCCCCCCGCACAAAGTGAGCCCTTTGTCCCCCCCGGAAACACTGGGCCGAAATCTCCCGCGACAAGAATTTAAGGATCTGACGGGCCCAGGGCCTTAGAGACCAGATCCCCAGAAGATCAGTCACAGTTAAGCTCGAGTAAAGGCGTCCCAGGTGCACGCAAAGGCCCTTTATACAAGGCGGACGGTGCAACGTGGGCGACACACACCCGTGGGCCCAGCACTCGGCCCCAGAGGCCCCCGACCCGCGCCACGACCTCCGTCTCTCCTCACAAGACACTACGCGCCACGTGGACGGCCGCATTTCCCACGCTCTCTTTAAAGCTACACTTCGGACGGCGTGCAAGTGCCCGTGAATCACACGCTGCGGCTCTGGCGGTTTTGGCCTCAGATCACTAGCAGCGTGTTGCACAGACTGGGGGGACGTCGCCGGCCCAGTCGCACGCGTCACGCTCAGCCCTGCGGACGCTCCGGCCTGGGTCGGAAGTGCCGCCTCCGGGCCGGGTCTGTCCTGCACTCACCGAACGCCTTGTACCCGGGCTGTGGGTGATGCACTTGCACGCTCAGCAGGAGCGTATCCACCCCGTCCTGCCCTCCGTCCTGGCCTGCGCTTGCTTCTAGAACACTCCGTCGCGTGGGGACAGTGGTGTCCTGCTGTGGTTTGATCTTCACGCCCTTGGTAACTAATTGGCCATCCTTTTTTTTTCTTAAATATTTTATTCATCCACTCATGAAACAGAGAGAGAGAGAGAGAGAGAGAGAGAGAGAGGCAGAGACCCAGGCAGAGGGAGAGGCAGGCCCCACGCAGGGAGCCGGATGCAGGACTCGATCCTGGGACTCCCTGGGCCGAAGGCGGGCGCTAAACCGCTGGGCCCCCCGGGCTGCCCCAATGGGCCATCTTTCTGTACATTTAAGGGCCATCTCTTTTTTTTTCTCTCTTGTGACTTGTCTGTTCGGGCGTATTTCTGTTTTTATGATTTTCATGTTGAAGCGCCCGCATTTTTCTAGTCCCCCCCCCTTCCTCCTCATGCGTCCTGAGGAGCAATTGTTGGGGATGTGCGGGACACATGGCCCATCGCAGCCTACAGTTGCTCTTCCTTTTTCTGGTATTTTTAAAATGAAGAGCAGTTCCCACTTTTAAGGTAAGGCAGCGATCTTTTCCTGAGTGGCTTGTTTTTGTGTCTTAAGGAATCCTTCCTATGCTGCGCTCGGAACTTGTGGCCCCATTATTTTCTCTTAGAATTACAAAGTTTTGCCCTACTTGACGGGATGAGCACTGGGTGTTATTCTGTATGTTGGCAAATTGAACACCAGTAAAAAATAAATTTATTAAAATAAATAAATAAATAAAGTTTTGCCGTTCACATGGAAGTAGTGATCTAGCCTGAGCTGGCTGTAACCCATGGTGGCGAATTAGGGATACACTCCATTCCTTTTTTTGTTTTTACCCCACATGGATGCCATCCTTTCTTCTCTGAGGCAAGGTCACCTAAGTTCCGACACGTGAGATGATGTTGAGCTCTATCAGATACTTGTCCTGCATCTAATGAGATAATCACATCTTTTTCTCCTTTGATATGTTAATGTGCTTGATGGACTTAATAGATCCTTTTAATTAATAGCTGTTATAGCTCATCTCTCAGAAAACAGTAAGGGGTGCACCTGTGCCGAACACAAGGTGTGGAAGTCTGAATCCCTGTATTGTACTCCAGAGACTACATAACACTGGACGCTGGACACTAACTAACTGGAATTAAAATAAAAGCTTTTTTAAAAAAGGTAATAATAGATTTTTAAAAGACATTTCCCCTTCCGGCATAGCTATTGTTTCCTCTGATCGGTTTTGGTCGCCTTCATGCCAGAGCTTTCCTGAAAGGTCTGATGAAATCATTGGCGCTCTGGTCATATTTAAGAATCAAAGCCCCCCCCCCCGCCAAAAAAAAAAGAGTCAGAGACCCAGAAGTTGAGTGGAAGCTTTGAGTACATTGCTGGTGCTGGTCAACTGTGGGGTTCGCTGCAGGGGATTCCACTGGATGCTTTTCTCGGGTGACGCTCCATGTCGGGAACTCGGGCTTCCTCGGGCTGCTCAAACAGCCCAGAGAACTATCTTCCAATCTTCGGGACTCTTTTGGAAAGATCTGATCATCCCCATTGTGGAGAAGAAGGGCTGGGGAACAGGTTCAGGAATGGTTCTCGTGTCCATCCCACGTATCGACCTAGTCACCGCGTGTTTGCTCTACCGTTCTTGGTCCAATGGATCCAATGTCCCCCGTCGGCAGCTCAGAGAAGCCTCGTTTCACTCCGTCGAGACTACACTTCAGCTTTTCTGCAGAGATGGGAAGTCACTGTGGCTCACCTCCATGCAGCGAGGGAGGGGCACCTGGAGATTTGCCTGCTGCTCAGGTGGACTTTGGCCCACTACCCCTTCGTTACCTTTCCCTCCAGCCCTGCTTCCAGAACTTTGTGCCATGGGCAATTCCTGAATCTTCTGGGCATTCTGTAGTATATTTGGCCTTCCCCACCTGCCTCCCCATCGTCCCCCATGTATTCAGGACTGAACTTTCTTGGGTTTGGTAAGTCATTCACCACATATCCATCTGTTTTCCAGTCCCCAGTCCCCAATGTCACTGCTGTTATCTTCCTGGAGTCTCACACCCTTGTGGGTTTGCACCTTTAACAAATCCCTTTAGTGACATTTTCCAGGATGTTTTGGGATGGAAGGAAAAAAATCAAAGCCTGTGGTCAACCCACCATCTTTACGGAGATGTCCACGAACAGATTCTGAGATGTTAAACCCAGTTTGTATACCTGGGAGAAATCCACCTTGCTCGTGGACATTCTCAGCTCCTTCATCGTGCTGGACTTAGTTTGCTCAAATCTTCGGGGCTGCTTTTCTAACCACTCGATTGAGCTATCATTCCAGACCATACAATCCTCCCATTTAAAGCAGACAATGCAGTGGTGCTTAGTATAAGCCCATATTTGTGCAATCGCTGTCTCAGTTAATTTTAGATCCTCTTCATCACCCCAAAAAGAAATCCGATACCCCTTAGCCATCACCCCCAGGCTCACCATCTCCCCAAGTGCTACGCAACCACCACTAATCTGTTCTTTGTGTTTATAGATTTGCTATTCCAGACATTCCATACAAATGCAATTGTACAGTATGTGGTCTTTTGAGATGACTGGCTTCTTTCACTCAGCATACTGTTTCCGGGGTTCACCACTGTTGCTTCATTGCGTGGCTGGATAGCATTCCACTGTGCGGCTATACCCCAATTTGTTCATCCAGTCCATAGCCAATGAACATTTGGGCTATTTTCATTTTTGGCTGTTAAGAAAGTGCTGCTATGAACATCTGTGCACAAATTTTGGTTGGACATATTCTTTAGGATATTTTAACCCGTGTGAATGAGTAAAACTGGTCTACAATTTTGTACTTACGTTATTGCTATGTGTTTTGGTATCAAGTTATTTTAGCCTTATGAAATAAAGTGGGTAATATTTCCTCTTTCTCCATCCCCTGGAGGCATTTATAGACGATTGCAACGATCTCTTCCTTTTGGTAGAAAGTGTACAGTTGTTTGGGCTTCATGATCCTTTGAAGTACAATTTTCCCTACTGATTCAGTTTCTCCTCTGATAGTTATATATTCACTCAGGTTTTCTAGTTCTACTTGAATGTATTTTGGGGTAATATTTTCTGATAATTTGCTTATTTTCACCAAAGTTGTCAAATTCGCTGGCGTGGAGTTATTCATAATATTCTCTTATGCCATCAATCTCTGGCATATTTGCAATTATTACCTCCTTTAAATTGTTAATATTGTTTATTTGTATCCATTTGCTTTGTCTTTATTGGTTATGCTCAATTTTAGGCTTCAAAGCCAATTAGGTGAGTGTTGATGCTCTCTAGTTTTGTTGTTTATTTTGTTCATTTCTGTTCTCACCTTTATTCATTTTCCCCTTGTGGGACTTATTTTTTCAAATTTTTATTATGAAAAATTTCTAAGAATCATCCAGACTGAAGAAAATATACTGTAAACACCTGTAACCTCACCATTTACATTCTATCACTAACATCTGACTACACTAAATTGCTCATGAGTCTAAGGGTTGGTATCTTTCATGAATCATGAGAAACTCTGCCAATTATCCCTTTGTATATTGCTTATCTATTTTTTTGACCTTCTCATACTATCTTCCATGTCTCAAATTTCTCTACGCTGTTATCTCCTTGTCCTGATTTACTAATAATTTCTCCACAACGATCTTCCAGTTCACTAAATCCCTCCTTGGGTTTAATCTGAGTTTCAATTTCATCCCAATCTTTATTTTTAGAAATTCTAAATGGTCTTTTCTAATATCCCTGGTCATTTTTTATTTTTATTTTTTTAAAGATTTTATTTATTAATTCATGAGAGACACAGAGAGAGAGAGAGCGAGGCAGAGACACAGGCAGAGGGAGAAGCAGGCTCCATGCAGGGAGCCCGATGTGGGACTTGATCCCAGGTCTCTAGGATCACGACCGGGGCCGAAGGCAGATGCTAAACCACTGAGCCACCCAGGGATCCCATGCCTGGTCATTTTTTAATACTATCTTGTTACTCAGTCCAACTTAACTCATCTTATTTCCTTAAGTATATCAAACATAATTATTTTATATTCAAAATCCAGTATTTCCAATAATGGCTTACTTCTATATTTGATTCTTTTGTTTGTAATTTGTATCAATTCCTTGGCATTTTTGGTCCTAGAGATTCTCCTTCCTTTCTTGCCAGTTGAGTTTTGCTTTTTAAAAATATGTTCTCTATCATTTTAAGATATTTTATGTGGTGG